ATATTCACTAAATTCATAATAAATAGTTTTTGGCTTATAAAATGAGTTGTAATAATCAACTGTAAGTGGATTCGTAGAATTAGATCTATATCTATTTTGGTAATTTATCTGGAGCCATACATGAGCAATTATGCTATGGCTCCAGAAATGGTATGTCATTAATTCATTTGTATCTGAAACTTTTGCATGTTTAATATATGTTATTTTTACTTTGATATAAGTTAGCAAAGTCGATAAATTAACCTTGAATATCTTTTAATTTATAAAATATAAAAACTGGTTATTTTGAAAAAAAAACAAACAAAAATTAATATTTCATTTATCAAGTATAACCTAATATTTTCAGATAAGTCGTAAGTCTTAATAGAAAAAATGGAGTAATAATTAATTAATTTATGTCGGAATTTTCTTTAAAAGCTTATTTACGTCCTTGACCGTCTAGAGAACAGTGAAAAAGAAAAACTTGTATCAGACAATCTAGTTCCGGAACAACAAATTGCGCAGCTGTTTGACACATTTAGATCCAGTTAATAAATACTCCCTTCTTAAATTTTTACCATCTAGCTCGTATAAGGTCTATTTATTTAAAATAAATCAAGGGAAAAAATGCTGTTTTTTTTAAATTTATTCATTAATTTAGAAATATTCTATTAAAATATTATTGAAAAATTTAAATAATTTATCCAAATGTCTAAATATTAAATTACTTATTGAATTTTAAGTAAAGGACACAAGGAAATTATGTTAATAATTAAATATTCTTTATATTTTTATTTTATCAAAAGCAAAATATCTATAACTTAAATGGTTTATAAAATAAATTTTTATTTAGGCCAACAACATAATTTTGGGGAATTGGTTATAATATTTATATTTTTCCTTATGACATTATTGCAGAAAATTAAATATTCTTTAATGCAGATAACAAATAGCCTAGAATACCCTATATTATACAATATTATCTGATGTATAAGCTATAATTTACAGAAATAAATATTTTTTATATACAGTACATCATTTCTTATCTTCTTTTGCATATTAATCTATTAATTATTATTAATATATTATTGTTGTTGTTGTTGTTGAATTATAATTTTGCGTTATCATAAAATATACGTTGTAATTATCTATGAATAAATCTGTATTTATATATTGCAGGATAATTCCATAATATAATTAAAATAAGCTTAAATGCAGCTAATATAATGAATTATTTCGAATTTTTCATTTTTACCATTAATTATGAAAAATGTTTATGTTAAATATGAAATTCAATGATTAGTCAAATCTTTAATATTAGAATGATAACTAAAAAAGGAAATGTATATATGATAAGAACTTTTTTGATTACACGTATTATAGTAAACGATAGTATAGCTTTTAAATTAATTAATATGATAAAAATTTATTATTATTTATTATTTAATAACTTGTTTTAATGAATTTATAAAAATATCATAAATTAATATTTATTAAAAATCTCAATAAACATTAATTTATGATATTTTTATAAATTCTAACGAAATTGTTTCAGAAAAAGTTATCAGTTCATATTAACGTAGTAGATAATCGTTGAATTTCATTTTTTAATATAAAAATTTACCATGTTGTATGATAAAATAAGAATTTGTATAATATTTGTTGCTATTATGTGATATTTTAAGTTAACACATTTATCAAATATAAGTATTTTTGTTAAGTTTTCTAATGATAGGCCTATACTTCATATGAAAATAGTTGACATATAATAATAAAGATAATTTTCAAATGAATGATAAAAATTTTAAACAGGTAAANAGAATTATCGCATCTGTTCATCTATATGAACCAGTTGTGCTATGGTTTAGGTATATTCACTAAATTCATAATAAATAGTTTTCGGCTTATAAAATGAGTTGTAATAATCAACTGTAAGTGGATTCGTAGAATTAGATCTATATCTATTTTGGTAATTTATCTGGAGCCATACATGAGCAATTATGCTATGGCTCCAGAAATGGTATGTCATTAATTCATTTGTATCTGAAACTTTTGCATGTTTAATATATGTTATTTTTACTTTGATATAAGTTAGCAAAGTCGATAAATTAACCTTGAATATCTTTTAATTTATAAAATATAAAAACTGGTTATTTTGAAAAAAAAACAAACAAAAATTAATATTTCATTTATCAAGTATAACCTAATATTTTCAGATAAGTCGTAAGTCTTAATAGAAAAAATGGAGTAATAATTAATTAATTTATGTCGGAATTTTCTTTAAAAGCTTATTTACGTCCTTGACCGTCTAGAGAACAGTGAAAAAGAAAAACTTGTATCAGACAATCTAGTTCCGGAACAACAAATTGCGCAGCTGTTTGACACATTTAGATCCAGTTAATAAATACTCCCTTCTTAAATTTTTACCATCTAGCTCGTATAAGGTCTATTTATTTAAAATAAATCAAGGGAAAAAATGCTGTTTTTTTTAAATTTATTCATTAATTTAGAAATATTCTATTAAAATATTATTGAAAAATTTAAATAATTTATCCAAATGTCTAAATATTAAATTACTTATTGAATTTTAAGTAAAGGACACAAGGAAATTATGTTAATAATTAAATATTCTTTATATTTTTATTTTATCAAAAGCAAAATATCTATAACTTAAATGGTTTATAAAATAAATTTTTATTTAGGCCAACAACATAATTTTGGGGAATTGGTTATAATATTTATATTTTTCCTTATGACATTATTGCAGAAAATTAAATATTCTTTAATGCAGATAACAAATAGCCTAGAATACCCTATATTATACAATATTATCTGATGTATAAGCTATAATTTACAGAAATAAATATTTTTTATATACAGTACATCATTTCTTATCTTCTTTTGCATATTAATCTATTAATTATTATTAATATATTATTGTTGTTGTTGTTGTTGAATTATAATTTTGCGTTATCATAAAATATACGTTGTAATTATCTATGAATAAATCTGTATTTATATATTGCAGGATAATTCCATAATATAATTAAAATAAGCTTAAATGCAGCTAATATAATGAATTATTTCGAATTTTTCATTTTTACCATTAATTATGAAAAATGTTTATGTTAAATATGAAATTCAATGATTAGTCAAATCTTTAATATTAGAATGATAACTAAAAAAGGAAATGTATATATGATAAGAACTTTTTTGATTACACGTATTATAGTAAACGATAGTATAGCTTTTAAATTAATTAATATGATAAAAATTTATTATTATTTATTATTTAATAACTTGTTTTAATGAATTTATAAAAATATCATAAATTAATATTTATTAAAAATCTCAATAAACATTAATTTATGATATTTTTATAAATTCTAACGAAATTGTTTCAGAAAAAGTTATCAGTTCATATTAACGTAGTAGATAATCGTTGAATTTCATTTTTTAATATAAAAATTTACCATGTTGTATGATAAAATAAGAATTTGTATAATATTTGTTGCTATTATGTGATATTTTAAGTTAACACATTTATCAAATATAAGTATTTTTGTTAAGTTTTCTAATGATAGGCCTATACTTCATATGAAAATAGTTGACATATAATAATAAAGATAATTTTCAAATGAATGATAAAAATTTTAAACAGGTAAAAAGTTATTGAATTTGTAAAAAATGCTCCACACTCATAAAAATGATATAATTTTTAATATTTCTGTTTTTTATTAATTGAAAACTGAAAAAACAATGTTTTATTATTTGTATGACTTTTATAAATTAGCCTATATTAAAATTATAAAACTTAACAAAAATACTTATATTTGATAAATGTGTTAACTTAAAATATCACATAATAGCAACAAATATTATACAAATTCTTATTTTATCATAAAACATAGTAAATTTTTATATTAAAAAATGAAATTCAACGATTATCTAATACGTTAATATGAACTGATAACTTGCGAAAGAATTATGCATTTTTTAAATAAATATATAATTTTATACAACATGCAATAGATATTATAAATAAATATAAGCTTATATTTATTTATTATATATTAATATGTAAATTTGCATTAAGCAGTTTGATAAAGATATACAATATATGCCTGAAAAGCATCCATGAAGCTGTGGCAGAAAAATATAATTAGCGTGTGCATGTGCAAAAAGCTAATAGTTTGGCATTTTAAAAGTATTTCTTCCGAAACTTATCAAAAATATTTACAAACGTTACACTAATATATATTTTCATTTTGATATAATATAATTTTAATTGCATTTTTATCTGTAAAATAAACATAAATTCAGTTCGGCTATAAACTATAAATTATTAGCATTAAATATAAAATAAAAATTCTCTCTAATTAAAATTCAGTCCCCAAAGGCTTTTTCTTGGTTTAACTAAAAATTTCAAGACATTTCAATAGAAGTTGATTTTTGTTATTATATTATAAATTAAATTTGGATTTATAACAATTTAAAATTTTTTCTTGAACGGTATTAATATTTTCCGGTTAATTACTTAAAATGCAGCTATATCATTTAAAAATGTGAGTTAATAAGATCGATTTTGATTGTTACAGGTTTCCTTAAAAGAGATTTGAGATAGATTTCCTTCATATTTAAATTAAAATTTTGAAAAAGTCTTTAAAACGATAAATAAATAACAGAAACGAAAAATTAAATTATAGTACTTAAATCAGGAATCGCATTTATTTAGGAATATATGAAGCCAATCGATCCCCTCCCTGTTCTATCTTTTTGAATAAATCCAGATTGTAAAATAGCCACACCTTGAACCAGTTTATTTCACTGTTTGGAACAGAATATAGGCAATCTGCCAGATCTAATCTGCTAAGTTGAACTTGTTTCTTCTGCGGCCAATGCCACAATAGATTCTCCTGTATTAAATCGTATCAACAGGCAATGCTAGAAAATATTCGTGTAATGTAGCGTTTTGAAATGATTATACATTATTTCGATTTTAGACAATTTCATAAACTTACCGGTCCAGCCGTCTTAGCTCTTTGTTGATTTTACTTTGTTCATTGATATATTGCATCTGTTGCGTGGATATCTGTTCTAATTGAGCTTGAACGTGATTTACTGCAGGAAAATTTTGAAGTTCTCTTGCTTGCTGTAAGCGTGATTTCAATTCTTCTTGTTGATTACCTAACAATTTTAACTGTTCTGCTAAAACATCCAGTTTCTCCTATGTAAATGCAGACCAATTATATTCCAGTAATATAACCATTATTAGAATTTTTTAAATGTAATTAAAATAATTTAATAAATTAACGCTTGTAATAATAATAATAATAGGCTAATAATAATAAAACTTCGAAATTTACTCCGTAAAAATATTAAGTAATCGTTCTAATTTAAAATAACTATTTTGTAAAATATTTTAAATTTTAATTGTTAATAAAGGCATCATATTAAAATAATAATTATAAATTTAGTTTTCTGATTTTTCACCGTTAATTCCTTAAACTATACATCTAACCAGCATAAAAAATCTTTAAAATATTTGATTTAGGATACATTTTTATTTCGAAAAGTGATGTAACCGTTTTAATTATCGCATAGCATTATGATAAATTTTAATTAATTATGTTAATCACAAATTACATGATGCTGATGCCTTCGATCAATAAGGTCATCAAAAAATTAATTGTTACCTTCACTTTACTCAGTCTCATATATAAAGTTTACGCTCATATGCGAAAGAAATTTTATACCAAAATTTCGATTTAAGATATTATATTTTTTTCAAAATTATGTTATAAATCTTTATTTCCTTTCAGTTTAATTAATTCTATTTAAATATTAACACAACTTCCCGAGTTTAAAATATGTAGATTGATAAAGTTGTGCTTCTTAAAACCTTTAGCTTTATTTTTAAATACTGTATGTTTATAAAATTATGACTTTCCTCTATTAGATTTTACAAATATTTATTGATATTCCAAAACATATGAATAGGTTCATATCAATTTCTTTTGTTGTCACAAAATTTCTTGAAATCAAACCAAATATTTTTATTCTGGATATATTTTATATGTTGGAAATGGAGATTTTTTTACTTCGTTTTAGAGAAAGTATAGAAAGATCTATGCAAATATTTTACTCTATAAATTTGATATTCAAGTATTTGTTTGAATAAGTTGAAAGAATATAAAACGATAATATCTTCATTAATGGTTTATACGCATTCTAATTATAGGCTAATAATAACTTATTGAATAAGAAAAACGATATTTTAAAAACTTTTTAATAATAGTAATTTTTAATTATTATTAAAATGATATTAAAACTTAATCTTTTAAAGACTATAGTATTCAATATATAATATAAATAGTTACTTAGGTCTACAATTTGAAAATTTATTCTGAAACAATGAAATTTATTAGTAAAAATGTAATAACAGCTTTACGTTGCGTACTTTTATTCTTTTTAGTGCTTCTTGAAGATGGAATTTATGAATATTCTTCATATTAAATGGCGCGTAACAAAATTTTACTTACCTGTCTCTTCTTCACTTCATCTTCTATTTGGGCTTTTTCAGGTACGGGTATATTACTAGGGCTTTGATCTAGTCGAATGCGTTTGCACGTTTCTTCATCATAAGGTTTACTATAACACTGAGACCTGCAAGTGTTGTCCATACTGTTTACATTATTGATAAAACTGATTTTACCGAAGGTATCAATAAGATAAAAACAATATATAGTTTAATTTATAAAGATATTTATTAAAATAAAGTTACGCGTTTCTAGTAACATTACGTTAAAGTGAAACTCTTAAAACATTTAATATTCTTATGGAAATTTGAAATCAGATAGGTTATATTTTTCTTTGAATTCTAGATATATGCAAAATAGCTTAACATCTTCAAATGAACGTTTTCTGTTAGTTTAGGTTTCTGATAAAACTTTTTACATAATAATATAGCATTCATTGATAGAAGGCAAACTCAAATAGACAGACATAATTTTCCGAGATATGTATCATGTTATGAATGAGTGAATATCTCTGATCATTCTCATAAATCTATCAGTTATTTGCTTTCTGTTTCTAACTAATCAATGAAATGATGTAATGAAGAAATGATGTAATAATGAATTGATTGTTTACACAGAATTTAATCTTTTTGTAGAAAATCACGACTAAAACATTTTATTAGAAAAATTTGTTAATTTATTGTAAAACATTCTACTGTAAAAAGAATGATATGAAATTCTGTTGTTTATATATACAGTATATATATTTTACTTCACGGAGAAAAGAAAGGAAAACAATTGATGTAGAGTGCATAATTTATTTCTTAAAGCAATTGATTTCTTTATTATAGAAGTAAATTTGTTATTTAAAAATATTCTGTTTATAAACAGATTTTAATAAAGCATGTATGAAGTGAGTTAAAGTTAAATTGAAATTTAAAAAATAATGAATAATTTTTCATAACAATAATAACAATTAAAAAGTTATAAAAAGTTAAATTATAATAAATATTATAGGCTGTCATTCAATTTACAATTTGATTGTGCTTCCGTTTTTTTTTGTTTTTTTCTACTTTATATTCTAAATTATGAAAATAGAGATTTTTATATGTTTAATCATTTCTGCCTAAGGTCTGCACTTTTTAAAGTAATACTACTAATAATAAGTGAAACATTTAATTGAAAATTAGTGGAAATCAAAATATTGAAGCTAATATTGTTTCTCATTACATTAGAATTTAATAGTTTATCGGCTAGAAATATTAGTGTCAAAATTTATCAAATCTAAAATCTTAATATATTAAAATCATTAGGCCTAGAATTATTATTAAGTTATCGAAACAAAAATAATTATTAAGAATATAAACAATTTTTGAGATTATAATTATTTGTTTATCAATTTGATATTCATTAGGTTGTTGAAAGAAAATTATATCTTGATGAAAGATAGAATGCCTTTAGAGGAAGAAGATAAAATCCAAATTAATGTGAAATATATTTATCCTATTTAAAATAATAATTTTTTTTAAATTTCTTGTTTAATATTAAGCAATAAGATGTAAATACAAATTAAAAATATAAGATTAAATCTGCTCAAATGAATTCTAAGCTTAAATTGCAAAGTTAAATTGCTGTAGTCTTGTTTATTATTTAAATAAATTAACGCTTGTGTTTTATTGATTTAAGGATGTTTGAATTGAAAAATATTTTACAAAATAATAGTTAATCAATTTGTTATGTCTAATAATTAAGTCATATTATTTGGTATGATTAATAAATTCAAATGTAACGATCATTATACATGAATAGAACAAATATATACTAAATTATTTCCGATATTTTAGACAATGCATCTGAAAATTAGCTATGAATGCTTTTTAATTTACTATTTAAAAAATAGAAAACTGACAAAATGAATTTTATTATTAATATTAGAGTTGTTGTTCTATAAGAATGAATAATTTATGCAATTTTTAATACTCTAAAAGCTAAAATACTCTGTATTATAAAAAAACTAATTTAAAAAAATTTGGCATGTAAATTATTCATGAAAATAAGTTTAAAATACTTAGTGAGAAAGTAGAAACTGAGCTCTATGTCTAAACCTTATGTATAGATTTATATGAAAAAATATATCTTCATATTTGGAATATTAAATGTGTGCAAAATTAAAATAATACAGTATAACTAAATGTCTTACAAGTTAATTACGAACAGTTTGAATAGTACTTTCATATAATTTTTATTATATATACAGTATACACAAACACACATACACACCATTTTTCAGAAGATATTTAATAATAAATAGATAATGATTTTGTTTTTATTTTAAAATTTGATATAATAAGAAATTTTGAATACTAAAATGAAAAATTTTTTATTGATTTATATTTCATTATTACGTGTTCTGAAAAGTAATTAAATGGCTAAATATATTTCTTTTTTGTATTGGAAAAATTTAGTTTTTGTTCAAATTATGATTTAATTTAAACAAATTTACATTAAATCAAATATTTAATTCAAAATTTAAGTATCTTGAAATTTTCAAAAAATCTAACTTTTATTTGTATTTAATTTTCTATTTATAACTTTCATGAAAATAAACTCAAACGTGCTTTATTCTAAAATAAAAATTAAAATGAATATAAATAATTATAGACTAATATTAAAATTAGATTTATATAAAATTCCAAGAACTAAATGAAAAGTTGTATATCTGTAATAAAGTCAATTCTGTACCTTTTAACGAAATTTAAGGTAAATTATATGTAAATAGACCTATTTACCATAAATAGCTATCTGTTCTAATCTTATCTTATAAGGAAGTTATAATTATAATTCAAATATCTTGATATTCTAACAATATAAGATAACTTTTTGTAGTGTGTGAAATGAATAGAATTGTACTGTACATTGAAAAGAAAATTATTAATTAATTTAATAAGAAAAATAAATAAAAATACAACATACATTATTAAAAATTCATTAATATGTTAATGTGTTAAATATCCAAAACAAATAGAGTATTTGCAATCCTGCAGAGTATTTTTCCGGCAGCTTAAATAATGTACTGTACATTTATTTTATGAATATCTTCAGATTTTTTTAATAAGTATCGACAACAGTTTATCAAATAATTCTATAATAAAGAGTTTTTTACGTTTAAATGTGTTTTTAATTATAATATTACATTCTATAATTTATTCTACGTAAGGAATAGACGAATTTCATTACATTGTATTAGTGTAAATTCTATAGTCTTGAGCATTATATGACAATCGCATAGAATTAATGAAATTCAACTTTTTCAACGGCGTTTTTCGTTTGTAGCTTCTATAAATAGTAAAAGCATATTAAAATATAACTTGTCCGTTTTTCTGGCTGATTGAAGGAGAATAATGTAAAGTAATGGATACATTTGTGTGTGTGTCAGATAAAAATCTTGAAATGGTTGGATAACTATATCTTCAACCAATTATAAGATTTTGAATTTTTGACAGTCACGTTTGTCAATCCTTTATTTCCAACTTCCAACCAATCACTGAAAAACACACATCATTAATAGCATCTGTTAACTATTTTAGAATAAATAAACTTTATAAGGACCTATGAATTCTTCAAAGGATGAAAAATAATCCTTAAGGATACAGCATAGTTACCAATGTTTCCATAATGTAAGGTGACTCAGAAAACATATATAGAATTTTAATCATAAGACTTGCAGTACCGAATTCCGTCACTGTGAGGTGTGCATTTCAAAATAACTGCTTTCGTTGGTGCGCTGTGCATTTTGGTTCGAAGAAATAAAATTCATGACAACGGTTCAAAGAAATTTTTGTAGCCAGTATAGTAGGGATTCCCCAAGTAGACCTGTTATTGATATTTACTCTTGACATTAAAATTTTGTTGAGACTGGTTTTTCTGATCCTCATGACAAATCCCCTGATAGTCCACGTGTTCCTAATTCTGTGGTGAAACAAGGGTGAGTTTTGTTCGTAGTCCTAGGAAATCAACGCAACGTGCATTTCATGAAACTGTCATTTCACGAAATACAACCTGCGTCTCGTGAAATATCATTTAGTGAGCACTAAATGATATTTCACGATTATCTTGCACTAAGACTTAAAAGTTCTCAATGCTGCAAAAATTACTAACGCGAATAAAGTGGGTCGTCGGAAATTCTGTCTAGAAATGTTGCATTTGATTGAGAAAGACGAGACATTCTTGGACAACATTATCTTCTGTAAAGAGCCGACATTTTATCTCAGTGGTAAAGTGAAAAGTGAACACACGACTGCAGGATTTGGGGCCTCGAAAATCTACGAGCTATAAACTCGTGAGTCCAAAAATAAGCGTGTTTTGTGCTATTAGTAAAATAAAGTGTAATTCCTCTTCTTTTTCCACTAGGGAATCATCGACAGTATCATGCATCTATATGCTGGAAATTTTCTCATTTCACAGTTAAATGACTTTGACACAGAAAAACGCATGAATTTTTAGCAAGATGATACTCCACCACACTACAGTATAAATGTCCGAGATTTCTTCAATAAATGTTTTCCAAGTCCGTGGATTGGTCGAGCAGAACTGATAGCATGACCACTTCGTTTTCCAGACTTGACACCTCGATTTTTGTTCTATTAGATTTCATTAAAAATATAGTATTTATTTCATCTTTTCCTGCAAATCTTGCTGAGCTCGAATCTCTGTCGCAATTATCAGTGACAACAGATATGTTGCTTCGAGTTCACATCGAACCAAAATGACTGTTCTTGGTAAAATCTGACGTGTTTTTGCTATAAATTAACGCCTGAACCGATTCCATAAGTCTTCTGATTTAAAGTCTATAGGCTATACTTTTAAAGTTGTAAAGTCATTGTTGAATCGCCCAGTGTATAATAAAGCCGTATTTTGTTATAATTATAAATATAATGTGTTCTAACTCACAAATTTATTTGAATTTTACTATTAAAACATTCTATTTAGGAAGCATGTCTGTAGTTATTAACATAGTCTATTAACACATAAGCTGAAATATGTTATTTGTAAACAAACTAATATATTTTGGTCGAATTGATATATATATACAGTATATATATATATATATATATTCATTGAAATGTTACATTGATATTTTGTATATACAGAGTGTTCAGAAAATCACTGTGCTTCTTTCTAATCATATTTTTGCATTATNACATATATATATATATATATATGTATGTATATTCTTAATTTAGACAAATTAATTTCAGTAATCTGTTTTAATTTTGATATAATTATACTTGATATTTTCATGTGATTATACATGTATGAAAATCAATTAAATTACATCAATTAAACAATGTAAAATTGCATTTTAGAATGTTATAGATATAATAAATTTAAATAAGTAGATTATTTCTCAAAATTGTCATTTTATAAGTTTATTTATTGTTTCTCTGATTATAAGTTATGGTCAATTTAAGTGTCTCAAATGTTGGTCATTTAAAAGTTATGTTTTTTCTAAATTAATGCTAAACTGAAACTAATAATTATTTAAAATTTCCATGCAAGAAATAAAAATCTGATTTCAAGAAAAACATATACAGGATGTTTAAAAGCATTCAGCGTTTATATGGTAGATAGTATACACCATACTGAGTGAATAAAAACATTAGTAAACAGGTAGAAAACTCAACCGTTTCTGTGATAAATGATCCGATAGAGAAAATTTTTGAGAGCTTGGAACACTGAATAAGATGATGCCATGCCTGCGTAGAAATGGAAGGAGGACATGTAGAACACTTTTTGTAAATATCGAGGCAAAGATTTGGCAAGATTATCACCTCTTTTCACGTTGCAAGCGACACATAGAAGCTAATAAATCAGTTATGATGCTAACATAAAAGTGTTAATGTCTTAGAAAAGGTTGATTTCTTTATCTATGTTTACTAAAGTTTTTTTCACTCAGTTTGGTGTGTACTACCTATCATATAAACTAAATGTTTTTAACACCTTGTAGACTTTATTCGCAATAACAACCTAATATATTTAAAACCTAATCATAAATTTATTAGAAATTAATTTTATATCTTATTCTCTGTTACAGTCTTTTTAATTTAATTGTTGTTACAATACATATAAAACTGACATTTGCCTTAACGTTATATTTATAAATAAATTTTAGATTTAAATATCGATAGTTCATTAATACTCTAATAAATACCTTGAATGTCCTTTAGAATACTGATAGCCACTGTCTCGAACCACCTGCCTCGCTAAAGGAAACAACTCATCTCTGCGAGTAAGAAGAGCTGGAATGTGCTTACAGATTTGTGCTGCAGCTTCATTCACCGATACCTAAAATTCGTATTAGTTATTAGTTGATATTTCAATTTAAATGAATTTAGTTACTTTTTTCTAATTTAATTCAATCCTTCAACTTTAACACAGGTCTGTATCATGTCAAGTCTTAAGTTATATTAATCTAATTTTATAGGAATTATTATATGATTTAAAATTATGTATCTATTCGCCATTTAATATTTTATGATATGACTTTAAAAAATGTTTGATTTGTACAGATATATTTGAATAAATTATATAAATAAACGTGTTAAACGAACGAGTATTGTATAATCTTTCATGTAGGTCTTTTTAATAAATACAATAATAAATTTATACAAAATATTTTAATTTTAAATTAGAAAATAATTTATTTAATTCTACTAACAGATATAAGATACTATACTTTAAAATTTAATTAAAAATATCAAATTTTTAAATTCGCAAAAATGCTAATGAAATATTATTTTATCACAAATTATAATTTTAAATATTGTTTCGTTCTTCTACTAAAAAATTTTAACATAAATGCCTGTAAGCATTTAGTTATTTTTCCACATTCAAGTATTTTTTTTACGCAAATAAGGCTCAAAAAGTAAGTTTTATTATATAAGCATATAAAGACTTTATATTAATAATAAAGATAAATAAGCATAAATATATATTTCTGTACGTTACGTTATGTATAAACATGAATACAAAGAAGCATTTTTGAAAAAGGAAAAACAGTTAAGTATCTAATTAATTATTTTCAATAACAAAATAATTCTAATATTTTTTAAAAAATTTGATAAATTTTGCTATTTTCGAGTTTACCTCATGTAAAGTCAATGGTTTTTCAGGTTTTCTTTTACAATCAAATCGACCATAAATAGCAGCATATTTTCGGATTTCATCCATCCTTCGTGGATCATCTTCCGGCATATTCATGACATACTGTAAATTAGAATAGCATATTTACCTTTTGAAATGATTTCTGATATTAAATACATTTTTATAAATAAACCAGATACCGATCAATTTAAAACTAATCCATATATAAATTAGCATAAAAAATTTTTTTATTAAATTAATTTCTTATTATTAGTTACTGTATATCATCTAATATGACCTTTGTTATAACATAAGCAAAAATATTATAAGTTAATAAATTACATTGCTATAAAACTTAATACTACTTATTATAAGTTCTACATAATAAAGCTATTTAAAATAAGTTTAGATGAGTCCAAGACAATTCAGGTTCGTTTTTTATAAACCAATCTGCTGTAAATTTTAAAATTATATATATTTTTTCTATTGATATGATTATTACAAATGAAGATTCCGAATTAATATTAGTGTTTTACTTATATTCATTTATATTTAAAATTTAATAAATTTAAAACATTATTAGTTTATTTTTAAATCTGATTAAACATGTATTAAGAATTAAAAATATATAGGCCAATATATTCTCCAAACTTTAAATATTTTATTAAAACAAGTTTGTTGGCGATAATTTTGTTAAAGCTCATAAAAATGGAAAATAATACGAATTCAAAAATTAAATTCGTTTAATTTTCTACATCTTTATTAACTTAAAAATAAATTTTCTACGGAATATATAGAAAGTATTACACTCAGGATTTAAACACATGAAATAGTTTAATAGGCTACATAAAAGCTTCAAAAATTTTCAAAATGTACGCTAAAGGAAATACTACTACTGCAATATAGGCTATAAACTGTTAAAATGTAATGCCTTCGGCATTACTACAATCTGCGATGGATCTCTCTAATTTGTAAATGTAATGCCGAAGGCATTACATTTACAAATTAAAATTATGGAGAACACAATATTAGAGAATAGTTCATGTTGCTGCAAAAAGCTTGTAAGTGGATTAACTTCCTTGAACTTTTGAGTTGAAGGAAGGCCGAACAAAAACATAGATAATGAGTCGCATAGACTTTTGAACCCAAGTTTTTTGTAGCGACGTACACGACTTTCTAAACTGTGCATATATCTTGCGAAGGATACCACTAGGCCGAAGGCTGTCAAGAAATTGAATAACAGCTCTCTGTTCAATTTTGGTGGAGTTTGATACGGCAATGCCATTTTCTAAACCGCGTAGTGGATGTCCCTGCAGGTGGCAATTGCGTCCACTACGCGATTTAGCTTTTATGTAAACTATTGGTAAAGGGTCGCATTACTGTATACTCCTTCCCTATTATTAGTCTCAACCTTCTACGCTAAGCTATTTTTCTTTGACATCTTATTTATTGAATCTGCCTCGTACAATATTTGTTATGATTAATTATTAAAAAGTTATAATTCTGCTATGTAAAGAAATTTTATATAGCATATTTTCAGAGCAATTTTTTACTCTAACATATCTTCATTTCGAAAAAATTATAGAAGAAAATAATACGAACATTACGAAGACCAAAATTTCAATTCGAAAACTCTTTAATTGGACTTGAGATTAATTCTTACGAAATTATTTGAAGATAGAAAATAAAATTCACAAAGTAAGCCTATATGACTTATTAGAAAAAGTATTAAAATAATTTTTTTCTTAGAAATAGTATTAGATATCACCTTAAGTACTGCATTTCGGAAGAATTTATTTTAAAAATCTGATTTCAATTATTGATTAATAATAATTACTATTTAATTTATAAAAATAAAAACGATTTTTATAAATTATATGATAATTATGTGACGTAATGAATTTTAAACTTGAATAAATTTTGGTAAAAATAATTACATTATACAAATAAATAATAATAAACATAACATTTCATTAATTATAATTAATTTAAAAACAGAATTAATATCACTCCTTGCACTTTTATGTTAATTTATAATTCATTTATCACTTACATTAACATTTATACGTCTAAATATTAAATATTGGATTTGATCTTGTTTTATTTATTCTTGAAAGAAATATAAAGCAGCAATATTTATTGTTATTAAAGTAGAATATTTTTATAATTTAAAGTATCAGTCGGATTTAGAATCCAAATATTTATATTAACTTCAAATTTAGAAAAAGTTTTTACTTCCATCGTCTTCACCGGTTGCCAAGGTAACATTAGCGATTCAACCAATCACTGACGAAATGTCAGCGCAGCAATTAACTATCCTCTGCTTTAGAAATTTGTTGATGTTTCATATTTATCGTTTGTCTGCTTAAAAAAATCGTTTATATATGTTAATTTATTTTCTTATTTATTCAATAGTATCGTAAGAGCACATTTTATTTGGTATTTTACGTTTTACCACACGCTAGACTAAATTTGGGCTTGACGAATAGAAATTTCGCCTACATTTAGACCAAACTACACATAAAATGAATAAAAATTTCATTTAGCCAATTACTTTTTCAATTTAGAACTTTAAATTTAAACACTAAAATCCTAATAAAATAAGACAAGGTTATTCACTAAAAGGATGAAGAAAAATAAAGAACTATGTATGCATTTGTTAGACCTAGTCTATACAGGCCTAATAAATTCATAATTTTAAAAAATAATTTCAAACATTAAATGTAAAGTAATAATGAATATATTCTGTCAGTGACGCACCCAGAGAAAGGGCCTGACAACCCTTAGGAAAAATGGGAAAAACTAGAAAATTTTCCAAAAATATTTTCATAATTAGAATTCACTTTTTTATTTATATTATGTGCTGTCTTCTATTTCTATGCTACTTATGAATTAGCAGTCACATAAGGTGTGATTTTATTGAATTCGCATTTAAAACTTCTTATTCATTCAACTCTGCTCTCCCAAGATTAAATTCTGAATGCGCCAATGTATTCTGTGGGTTATATAGTCGTTATTATTTCATAGGTAGTAAAATATTATTTATATTCATATTATAATAGGAAAAAGATATGGCAAGAATATTTTGTTGCCATATCTTTTTCCATAAGATGACATTTTTATATTTATTTATTTTCGCTTATATTAATTCATTGCTCTAGCTTTCTTTAATAATGGAAGTTTGAAAGCAGAAAATAAATTTTGATGAATAATAGCTTTCAATGAATCTTTGATTTAAAAATATATGTAAAAATAAATTTTTTCTTAATAATTGGAAACAAATGAAATATGAAAAATTTTAATTATTATTTAATAACACATTTATTGCAATCGATAAGAGTTTTTTTACGTGCTGATGAGCTACTTCGATGTTTATTGCTTTAAACCGATATTCTGTTTGCTTATGTGAACATACAAATTATGCTAACAAATGATTATAAGCTTATTAAATTGTGAAAATAAGAATTGATAGTACGGTATATTGGTAGACATAAAGGTGGATCTACATAGGGACTAATAGAGCTTAAATCCTGGACTCCAAGTGTCTCTTGAATTATCATAAATTTTTAATATTTTTTCATTAACAATTACGATAAGTGCTCATTGTTAATGAAATTAGTAAAAAATAGTTATTATTAATAATATAATAATAATGATAATTTATAGTATTATTTGTTTTATTGTGATCAATTGATTTCTTAATCTAAACAAAAAATGGGGCCCCATTGGACTTCAATAAGCCCTAGGCCCCGAAAAACCTAGGTCCGCCTTTGGGTAGACAAAATTACATAATTTAGTTTTACATTTAGGTTTATAAACATGTATAAAGAACTATACTTATCTACAGAAAATAAACTTGAAAATTTATAGTTTGATTATATTAATTACGATAAAGTTTGTGATAATTTTATCGATCTTTAAAATAGTGAACAAATAAGCTAATTCTAAAAGTTTTATAATTGCAGTTATTTATGATTTAATTCAATATAGTATCAAATGATATTGATATTTATAAATAATTTATTATTTTATGACGCTGTTCTACACAATGAACAAAAATTAAATATAATGTACCTTAATTAGACGTATAATAAATAAGAACATATTTATAAAATCAATATATATCAACAAAATATATGAAACGAATTTATTAACACAAAGTTTTAAAATTATTAGTAGAATTTAATTTTGAATAAAGGAGTAAATATACAGAATATCTATTCAAAGAATTAAACTATTAGAAAATAATACATTTATTTAAATCATGATTAATGAATCAAATTAATTATAAAATTCAACTAATCGTACTTTTTATTTATTATTGAATATCTTAAAATTATAGAAAGCTTGCTTAATTTCTTATTAAATGTAATTGGCATTAACATTACAGAATGGCTAAAATACTGATGACTAAATATTGAGATTTTAATACTTTCGCTAAGTATAAAATATTTATACAGCAATTTTACAAATACTATTAACTTTATTGACATAAATTTTGATTAGTCTATTTAATAATTTCGGTTATAGCCTATTCAACATTTACAATTTCGGTTATAGAGTTTTATTAAGATAAATTAATGAAATGGATAAAGTTTAAACTTTGATTATCTAAATAATTTACTTAAACATGTGTAAATGTAACCAACAATGAGGCAATGAACTTCTTTTCACATATATTCTACTTTAGTGTATATTAATACAAAACTACTAATATAAAACTGTTACCTAATACTGTTACATTAAAAATGCTTATTTATTAACCATTCAATTATTCAATGATAGCCTATTTAAAACAAATATTATGTTCGACTTACACTAAAAAGTAGTTAACGAATAACCAATTATTTATTAATTCCTTATTTGTTATCGGTATTTACTAAATCTAAAATTAGCATAATAATGTTTTCATCTATAAAAGAATTTAAATGTCTAAAAATGTGCTAGCCACATTGCATCTTGTGTACGTAGATTTCACAATAATTATACATTTATTAAATATTTAAAATTGGTTTGTTTACATAAAAGCGGTGTAATATTTGTTTTTAAATGTCAGTAATTTTACATATAGTTTTGGTCATTTGTCGAAAGATTATTTCACCCATTTGGGCTTATTGAATACC